TTTAGTCACTAAGTCATCTCTGACTCTTTTCAACCCTATGGACTGCAGCCTGCCAGGCTCCTCGGTCCATGGAAGAGTGGGTTGCCATTTCCTTCTCCAGGGGATATTCTTGCCTCAGGGATAGAACCCATTGTCTCCTGCATTGCTGGCAGATTCTTTACCGCTGAGCCAGGAGGGAACTTAATGATATTGTATTGTATATTTGACATTTTCCAAGAGAGTTGATCTTAAGTGTTGTCAACACATTTGTAAATATGTGAAGTAATGGATATGTTAATTAGCTTGATTGTGGTAATCATTTCACAGTTCATCAGTCAGTTCAAACTCTCAGTCACGTCCAACTCTTTGTGACCCAATGGACTGCAGCACGCCAGGCTTCCCTGTCCATCACCAACGCCTGGAACTTTCTCAAACTCATGTCCATCAAGTCGGTGATGCCATACAACATCTCATCCTCTGTCATCCACTTCTCCTTCTGCTTCCAATCTTTCCCAGAATCAGGATCTTTTCCAATGAGTCAGTTCTTCTCATCTGGTGGAGTTTCAGCTTCAGCATCTGTCCTTCCAATGAATATTCAGGACTGATTTCCTTTAGGATTGACTGATTGATCTCCTTGCAGTCCAAGGGACTCTCAAAAGTCTTCTCCAACACCACAGTTCAAAAGCATCAATTCTTTGGCACTGAGCTTTCTTTATGGTCCAACTCTTATATCCATACATGACTACTTGAAAAACCATAACTCTGACTAGATGGATCATTGTCAGTAAAGTAATGTCTCTGCTTTTTAATATGCTATCTAGGTTGGTCATAGCTTTTCTTCCAAGGAGCAAGTGTCTTTTAATTTCATGGCTGCAGTCACCATCTGCAGTGTTTTTGGAGTCCAAGAAAATTAAGTCTGTCAGTTTCCATTGTTTCCCCATCTGTTTGCCATAAAGTGATGAGACCTGATGCCATAATCTTTGTTTTTTGAATGTTGAGTTTTAAGCAGCCTTTTTCACTCTCCTCTTTCACCTTCATCTAAAGACTCTTTAGTTCCTCTTCGCTTTCTGCCACACAAGGGTGGTGTCATCTGCATATCTGAGATTATTGATATTTCTCCCCGCAATCTTGATTCCAGCCTGTTCTTCATCCAGCCTGGCATTTAACATGATGCTAGGAGGGATTGTGGGCAGGAGGAGAAGGAGACGACAGAGGATGAGATGGCTGGATGGCATCACCGACTCGATGGGCAAGGGTTTGAGTAAACTCCAGGAGTTGGTGATGGGCAGAGAGGCCTGGCATGCTGCGATTCGTGGGGTCGCAGAGTCATACACGACTGAGCGATTGAACTGAATTGAACTGAACTGAACTCTGCATATACGTTAAATAAGCAGTGTGATAATATACAGCCTTGACGTACTCCTTTCCCAATTTGAAACCAGTCCATTGCTCCATGTATGGTTTTAACTGTTGCTTCCTGACATGAATACAGATTTCTCAGGAGGCAAGGAAGGTGGTCTGGTATTCCCATCTTTTGGAGAATTTTCCAGTTTGTTGCAATCCATACAGTTAAAAGCTTTAGCGTAGTCAATGAAGCAGAAGTAAATTTTTTTCTGGAACTCTCTTGCGTTTTCTATGATCTGACAGATGTTGGCAATTTGGTCTCTGGTTCCTCTGCCTTTTCTAAAATCAGCTTGAACATCTGGAAGTTCTTGGTTCAGGTACTATTGAAGCCTAGCTTGGAAAATCTTGAGCTCTACTTAGCTAGTGTGTGAGATGAGTGCAACTGTGTGGTAGTATGAACATTCTTTGGCATTGCCTTTCTTTGGGTTTAGAGTGAAAACTGACCTTTTCCAGTCCTGTGGCCATTGCTGAGTTTTCCAAATTTGCAAGCATATTGAGTGCAGCATTTTAACAACATCATCTTTTAGGATTTGAAATAACTCAACTCGAATTCCATCACCTCCACTAGCTTTGTTCATAGTGATTTTCCTAAGGCCCACTTGACTTCACATTCCAGGATGTCTGGCTCTAGGTGTGTGATCACACCATTGTGGTTATCAGGATCATGAAGATCTTCTTTGTATAGTTCTTCTGTGTATTCTTGCCACCTCTTCTTAATATCTTCTGCTTCTGTCAGGTCCATAGCATTTCTGTCCTTTATTGTGCCCAATGTTGCATGAAATGTTCCCTTGGTATCTCTAACTTTCTCGAAGAGATCTCTAGTCATTCTCTTTCTATTGTTTTCCTCTGTTTCTTTGCATTGAAAACTGGGGAAATCTTTCTTATCTCTCCTTGCTATTCTTTGGAATTTTGCATTCATATGGATATATCTTTCCTTTTCTCCTTTGCCTTTAGCTTCTCTTCTTTTCTCAGCTATTTGTAAGGCTGCCTCAGACAGCCATTTTGCCTTTTTGCGTTTCTTCTTCTTTGGTATGGTTTAGATCACTGCCTCATGTACAATGTTACAAACCTCTGTCCATAGTTTTCAGGCACTCTATCAGATCTAATCTCTTGAATCTATTTATCACTTCAGGGGATTTGATTTAGGTCATACCTGAATGGTCTAGTGGTTTTCCCTACTTTCTTCAATTTAAGTCTGAATTTGGCAATATGGAGTTCATGATCTGAGTCAGTCAGCTCCTGGTCTTTTTTGCTGACTGTGTAGAGCTGCTCCTTTTTTGGCTGCTAGGAATATAATCAATCTGAATATATTATATTGACAATCTGGTGATGGCCATATGTAGAGTTGTCTCTTGTGTGGTTGGAAAAAGCTGTTTGCTATGACCTGTGTGCTCTCTTGGCAAAACTTTGTTATCCTTTGCCCTGCTTCATTTTGTACTCCAAGGCCTGTTTGGCCATACCTCTTACTCCAGGCATCTCTTGATTTCCTACTTTTGCATCCCAGTCCACTATGATGAAAGGACATCCTTTTTTTTTTTTTTTTTTTGGTATTAGTTCTGGAAGGTCTTGTAGGTCTTCACAGAACCATTCAGCTTCAGCTTCTTCAGCATTAGTGATTGGGGCATAGACTTGGATTACTGTAATATTGAATGGTTTGCTTTGGAAATGCAGAAAGACCATTCTATCATTTTTGAGATTGCACCCAAATACTGCATTTCAGACTCTTTTATTAACTATGACTTTATTTCTTCTAAGGGATTCTTGCCCACAGTAGTAGATACAAGGGTCATCTGAATTAAATTCACCCATTCTCGCCCATTTTAATTCATTGATTCCTAAAATGTCGATGTCCACTCTTGCCATCTCCTGTTTGACTACTCCCAAGTTACCTTGATTCGTGGACCTAACATTTCATGTTCCTATGTAATATTGTTCTTTACAGCACTGGACTTTACTTCCATCACTAGTCACATGCACAACTGGATGTTGTTTTTGCTTTGGCTCAGTCTCTTCATTCTTTCTGGAGCTATTTCTCCACTCTTCTCCAGTAGCATATTGGGCACCTACTGACTTGGAAAGTTCATCTTTCAGTGTCATATCTTTTTGACTTTTCATACTGTTTATGGAGTTAAAGAAACATACCATTGTTATACACAATATTGATGAATCTCAAAAACTTTATATGAGTGGAGGAAGTTAGTCTTAAAAGATTACATACTTCATGATTTCATTCTGTGACTTTCTCAAAAAGGCAAAGTTATCATGATGGAGAACTGATCATTTGTTAGGAGTTAGAGGGTAGAGCTCATGTCCATTGAGTCAGTGATGTCATTTAATCATCTCGTTCTCTGTCATCCTCTTCTCCTCCTGCCTTCAACTTTCCCAGCATCAAGGTCTTTTTCCAATGAGTTGGCTCTTCCTATCAGATGGCCAAAGTATTGGAGCTTCAGCATCAGTATCAGTCCCTCCAATGAATATTCAGGATTGATTTCCCTTAGGATTGACTGGTTGGATCTCCTTGCAGTCCAAGGGATTCTCAAGAGTCCTCTCCAACACCACAGTTCAAAAGCATCAATTCTTCACTGCTCAGCCTTTTTTATGGTCCAGTTCTCACATCCATACATAACTACTGGAAAAACCATAGCTCTGACTATATCATATGGTAAGAGTATTCTATTTTTGTAAGAAACCACTCAACTGTCCAAAGTGGATGTACCTTTTTGCATTTCTCTCCAGCAGTGTATGAGAATTCCTTTTGTTCCCCATGGTCAACACATTTGATGTTGTTAGTGTTTTGGATATCCCATGCTCAGTCACTCAGTCACGTCCAACTCTTTATGATCCCATGGACTATCGCCCACTGGACTCCTCTGTCCATGGAATTTTTCAGGCAAGAATACTGGAATGGGTTACCATTTCCTCCTCCAGGGGATCTTCCCGACCCAGTGATCGAATCCACGCCTCCTGAATCTCCTGTGTTGGCAGGCTGATTGTTTACCACTGAGCCAGTTTTGGATATTATCCCCTCTTAACAGTGTATAGTGTCATCTCATGGTTGTTTTCACTTACAATTCCCTCATAATTTATGATGTTCAGCATCTTCTCGTATATGTACGCCGATCAAGAAGTAAGAGTTAGAACCGTGTATGGAACAACTGACTGGTTCAGGATTGAGAAAGGAGTTTGACAAGGCTGTTTATTGTCACCATGTTTATTTGACTTATATGCAGAGCACATCGTGAGAAATGCCGGGTTGGATGAGTTACAAGATGGAATCAAGATTGCCAGGAGAAATACCAACAACCTCAGATATGTGGATGATATCACTAATGGCAGAAAGTGAAGAGGAAGTAAAGAACCTCTTGATGAGGGTGAAGGAGGAGAGTGAAAATGCTGACTTAAAGCCAAATGTTAAAAAAAAAAAAAAACTAAGTTCATGGCATCTGGCTCCATCACTTCATGGCAAATACAAGAGCGAAAGGTGGAAGCATTGACAGATTTTTTATCTTTGTAGAAACTTTCATTGAGACATTGGTAGGGATTACACTGAAGTTGTAAACGCTTGCAACATAATTATTGAAGAATTTTTCTCATTTGTTCTGTAGTGTTTTTCATTTCTACAGTTGGTGGATTGCATCTCTGTCACTTTGTATAGTGTATTCATCTTGTTCTTTATGTCCTGTAAATTGGAGGTTAAAAGGGAGGTTTAATCTGATTCAGGTTTCTTTTGCTTCCTTTTATTTTTTGCCAAGAACACACATCATAAGTAGTATTTTGTGCTTAACATGCAGAATAATATAATCTCTGGTGGTTTCTCTTTCTGTGATATTAGCAACCACTGATGTTCAGCAACTAAGTTATTAATATATTTTCAAATTACTTTATTTAAGTAGTCATTATTTTGCAACCATAATATAACTATTTATTGTTAAATTAATATTTTATTGATTAAATTGTTTTTCACATTTCTTATTTATTATCACCTAATATTTTAGACATTGTCATTTCCATTTGGGGAAATTTTTTTCTTAGATAATTTTCATAGAGTCTACAGCAATGGTACATTCTGTAAGTCCTTGACTAATTTTCATTTTTACTTATGAGAAATTATTTGAAATGGACAAAATTGTAGGCTCAAAGCTCATTTTGTCCTCAGAATTCTATATACATTACTGTTTCTTCTGACATCTAGTGACACACATTGAATGTCAATGTTCATTTAATGTTATGAAAGAAATTATACTAAGAAAGCAATGATGATTACTCATGGCTTTTGAGTTGCAATCTGATTACAGGACATTTTGAAGGGAAGATCATTATCTGAGGTTTCTTGGCCTTCATTTATAATAGAAACAAAATTTTAGCAACAAAATCAGATACATCTCTAGCTTAATACCTATTGCTTGGGATTCTTTGGGTGAACAAAGACGGAGAAATGGTGAGATTTGTTCAAGAAAACAGGGTGAATGAACAGAGTTAGTATTCAAGTAGTATCAAGTCTTAGTAACTTTCAGTGAATGGAATAATGTATAAGAGCAGGTTAAATTGATCTATGTGGAAAGCAATGTCACAAGATGTGCTTGGAGAGATATGTATTGTGTTTTTTTTGGGGGGGCGTGCTGGAGATAGAGATGTCAACAAAAAAATTGCCACATATGACAGGAGAAGGGTAATAAGTCTGAGAAGCACAGCTATGATTCTGTGTGTTACTAGCCAAAAGAAAGGGCAAAAGAAGCTTGAGTCACTCTTTGGTTGCACACTTGAAGGGCTATAACTTATCCTTAGTTATTAAGTAACCATAGTATGTTAATGTATAACTTCACAAAACGTAGGTTTCGGCCTTTGTCTTTTCTCTGGAAACAGGATGAACCTTGGGCTGATAACCAGGTGGAAAGTGGGCCTTTTCAGGGAATAGAAAATAAATAAGTTCTGGAAAAATGATAGCCTCAGAGTCAAGACTCTCCCCACCCACTTACCTCTTAGCTTCATGCTTAAAACAATGATTAATAGACTGAAAAATGCCATTGGACAAGCTATAACCATTGCCATATCCCGCATCCAGTCATTGTACAAGGGAAACAAAGGATCTGAAATAGAGACTGAAAAAAAAATTAGTTGAGTTGTGAATTAGGGGGAGAGAATATTCAAGAAATAACATTTAATATTACTAATGCTGAAAATTTATTCTTTAGAAGTCATTGTTCTACCACTTAAATGGATTAATTCAGTTAATCCTTACAATAACTATATAAAATAGATTCATTAACACTTTTTTAAATAATCTTCTTTCTTATCAACTTTGTGTTGAGTTTGTAAGATGAAACCTTTGGATGAACAGAATGGCTTTTGTGTTTGGGAGGAATGTGAATCTTTGGGAGCTAGACTGTTGTAGACAGAATAGGCCCCTAAAAGTATCTGTGTCCCAATACCTGGAACTTGTGAATATGTTACATTCCATGGAAATAGAAACTTTGCAGAGGTAATTAAGGTTATGAACCTTATCATAGGGAGATTATTCAAGTTTATTCATGCAGATCCAATATAGTTATATGAGTCCTTAAATCAGAGACTTTTTAAGACTGAAGTCAGAGAGATGTGGCAGAATGCAAGGTTAGAGAGAGTCAAATGATGAAATGGACTTGACCCACCCTTGCTGGAAGAGCCACATGGAAAGCATGTGAAGAAATCCAGGCAGGCTGCAATCCTCGGGCTGACAGCTGATAAGGAAATGGGACCTCAGTCCCACAACTTTAAGGAACAAAAATTGACCAACAATCTAAATAAATTCGGGAGTGAGGTTTTGTGAGTATAACCCACACTATGGCAAAATTCCTCTTCATCTCTGAAAAGTGTACGTGCAAGTCACTCAGTTGTGTCCGACTCTTTGAGATCCCATGGACTATACAGTTCATGGAATTCTTCAGGCCAGAATACTGGAGTGGGTAGCCTTTCCTTTCTCCAGGGAATCTTCCCAACCCAGGGGTTGAACCCAGGTCTCCCACATTGCAGGCAGATTCTTTACCAGCTGAGCCACAAGGGAAGCCTTTTATCCTTGGGACCATGGAACTAGAAAACCAATTATTTACTCCTAAAATATAATGGTACAACAGGTATAGGAGAATATTTATCCATTCTCATTGAATTGTGAAGAAAATGAGAAGGAAAAATTAGTCACTGCTCCCAAGTAATTTCAAAGGTCAACTGGGAAAACTCCATTAGGTTTCAAGTCTTGAGGATAAACACATATGATTCATGACTTTAGCTTCTAGGCTTACAGCTTTGTTTTTGGAGACATTCTTCCCTCATGAAGGGTAGCACATATGTGGAGGTGGTTTAGTCGCTAAATCATGTCTGACTCTTGTGACCCCATGGACTGTAGCCTGCCAGGCTCCTCTGTCCATGAGATTCTCTACACTGAAAAATGAATCCCAAAGATATTCAATATCTAATTACAAGCTGGAATAAAGGTTACAGGGGAAATATAAACAACCTCAGATATGCAGATGATACCACTCTAATGGCAGAAAGGAAAGAGGAGCTAAAGAACCACTTGATGAAGATGAAAGAGGAGAGTGAAAAAGCCTGCTTAAAACTCAGCATTCAAAAAACTAAGATCATGGCATCCAGTCCCATCACTTCATGGCAAATAGATGGGGAAAAAGTGGAAACAGTGACAGATTTTATTTTCTTGCATTCCAAAATCACTCAGATGGTGTCTGCAGCCATGAAATTAAAAGATGTTTGCTCCTTGGAAGAAAAGCTATGACAAATCTAGACAGCATATTAAAAAGCAGAGACATCACTTTGCAGACAAAGGTCCATAAGTCATAAGTCAAAGCTTATGGTTTTTCCAGTGGTCATGTATGGATGTGAGAGTTGGACCATAAAGAAGGCTGAGCGCCAAAGAATTGATGCTTTTGAACTGTGGTATTGGAGCAGACTCTTGAGAGTCCCATGGACAAGGTGATCAAACCAATCAATCCTAAAGGAAATCAGTTCTGAATATCCACTGAAGTTGAAGCTCCAATCCTTTGGCCACCTGATGGTAAGAGCCAATTCACTGGAAAAGACCCTGATGGTGAGAAATATTGAGGGCAAGTGGAGAAGGGGATGACAGAGGATGAGATGGTTGGATGGCATCACCAACTCAATGGATATGTGTTTGAGCAAACTCTGGAAGTTAGTGAAGGGCAGGGAAGTCTGGCATGCTGCAGTCCATGGGGTCACAAAGAGTTGGACATGACTTAGCGACTGAAAAAGGATAACCCATGGAACTTATGTATGGTACCTTATGTGATAAAAGAGCGTTTAGAGATGTCATTAAGTTATGAATCTCAAGGTGACAATATTATCCTGGATTACCTGGGTGGGCCCAATTCAATCACAAGTACTCTTAGAGGTAGGCAGAAGTTTACTGTATACACAGAGGAGAAGACAATATGAAGATACGGCTGAGAGAGTTTTTAAATGTATTTCTACTGTCTTTGAAAATGTAGGAAATAATCCATTAACCAAGAAATGTAAGGAATGCAACTCTAGAAACTGTAAAAGGCAAGAAAATGAATTCTCCCTAGACCTTCTGAAGGAATTGCAGGTTTTGTGACATATTGGATTTAGTCCAGTGAAATCCAATGCAGACTTTTGACCTCTAGAACTGTAAGATAATAAATGTATGTTGTTTTAAGATACTAAATCTATGGTAAGTTGGAAAAACTTTTGTGCCTCACATAGCATCATCAGGGGGAATTCTCTGGTGGTCTAGTGGTTAGGACTTGGCACTTTCTCTGCTGTGGACCCAGGTTCAATCCCTTTTCAGGGAACTAAGATACCACAAGCTGTGTAGTATGACCACACACAAAAAAAAAGAAAGAAAAAAGGGAAAAGAACACTTTTTGGAAACAAAAGGATAATCTACAGAATGTGGAAAGCAGAAGCAAGTCATGTATCTGGTAAAGCCTGTGTACCCAGAATATATAAAGAAATACAACTCAACAGTTAAAAGACAAGTAACACAATTTAAAAATTGGCAAGTGATTTAGATATTTATCCAAAGAAAATATGCAAATAGTTGATAAGTACAAGAAAATCTCTTCAACATCTTTGCTTATTAGAGAATTTTTTTTTTTTTAGCTTTTAAACAATAGAAATTTACTTCTCACAGTTCTGGAGTCTGGTTTCAGAGAGGGCTATGAGTGAATTGACATTACCCAATGATGATATGACAGTTTTTGTGATCTCATGAATTCCCTATGTTAGAGTTACAAACTCTTCTACACAAGAGAAAATCTGGGTGGACTTAGGCAAAAGGGGTGAGTTCATGGCTATGTCAATCTATTTCACCTTTGCCTCTCAAAGTCCACTTCCCCCCTGTCTTTTTTGTTTGTTTGTTTCTTTTAATTTATTTATTTTACTTTACAACATTTTATTGGTTTTGCCATACATTAACTTGAATCCACCATGGGTGTACATGTGCTCCCCATCCTGAACCACCCGCCCCCAACTCCCTCCCCATCCCATCCTTCTGGATCATCCCAGTGCACCAGCTCCAAGCATCCTGTATCATGCATCAAACCTGAACTGGCAATTTGTTTCACATATGATAATTTACATGTTTCAATATCATTCTCCTATGTCATTCCACCCTCGCCCTCTCCCGCAGGGTCCAAGAGACTGTTCAATATATCTGTGTTTCTCTTTCTGTCTTGCATACAGGGTTATCTTTACCACCTTTCTAAATTCCATATATATGTGTTAGTATACTGTATTGATGTTTTTCTTTCTGGCTTACTTCATTCTGTATAATAGGCTCCAGTTTCATCCACCTCATTAGAACTGATTCAAATGTATTCTTTTTAATGGCTGAGTAATATTCCATTGTGTATACATACCACAGCTTTCTTATCCATTCGTCTGCTGATGGGCATCTAGGTTGCTTCCATGTCTTGGCTATTATAAACAGTGCTGCGATGAACATTGGGGTGCACGTGTCTTTTTCAGATCTGGTTTCCTCAGTGTGTATGCCCAGGAGTGGTATTGCTGGGTCATATGGCAGTTCTTATTTCCAGTTTTTTAAGGAGTCTCCACACTGTTCTCCATAGTGGCTGTACTAGTTTGCATTCCCACCAACAGTGTAAGAAGATTCCCTTTTCTCCACACCCTCTCCAGCATTTATTGCTTGGAGACTTTTGGATAGCAGCCCTTCTGACTGGCATGTAATGGTACCTCATTGTGGTTTTGATTTGAATTTCTCTGATAATGAGTGATGTTGAACATCTTTTCATGTGTTTGTTAGCCATCTGTATGTCTTCTTTGGAGAAATGTCTGTTTAGTTCTTTGGCCCACTTTTTGATTGGGTCTTTTATTTTTCTGGAATTGAGATGCAGGAGTTGCTTGTATATTTTTGACATTAATTCTTTGTCTGTTGCTTCATTTGCTATTATTTTCTCCCATTCTGAAGGTTGTCTTTTCACTTTGCTTATAGTTTCCTTTGTTGTGCAGAAGCTTTTAATTTTAATTAGGTCCCGTTTGTTTATTTTTGCTTTTATTTCCAATATTCTGGGAGGTGGGTCATAGAGGATCCTGCTGTGGTTTATGTCGGAGAGTGTTTTGCCTATGTTCTCCTCTAGGAGTTTTATAGTTTCTGGTCTTACATTTAGATCTCCAATCCATTTTGAGTAGAGAATTGAAAATAAAAAATCATATAGAGCAATGCTTGAGCTCAACAAATGAATGTACATACTCTATGGCTAATAGTGAAAGATATACAATAATAAGTGTTGGTGAGAATATGTAGAAGTGGAACCCTCACACAGTGGTGGTGAGAATTTCAAATAGTAAAGCCAATTTGAAAAATATTTATTTTTCAATAAATATTGAAAAATATTTAAAAATGTGAAACAGAGAATTAATGTGATCCAGCAATTGCATTCCTAGGTGTATATCTGAGAGAAATGAAGACATATATCCACTCAAAATATTATACTCAAATACTCATAATGGAATTATTAATAATAATCAAAATTGGAAACAAACCAAGAAGCATTATTAACTGATCAGTGAATTAACAAAATGTTCTATATTTATATGATGGAATATTATTCAGCAATAGAAAGGAATGAAGAATTAATACATATTAAAATATGAATAGACCTTTAAAACATTATGCTAAGTGAAAGGAGTCAATTAAAGATGAGTGAATATCATTCGATTCCACTTATATGAAATGCTCAAGAAGAGCAAATTAAAACTGAGATGAGATACCACTGAATACACTAAGCTAAAATTAGAAAGATTGAGGGAAACCCAAAGTGGAAAACATGAGGAATAAATGTTCTCTTATCCATTGTAGGTGATGTGTAAAATAGTACACACAGTTTAGTGGTTTCTTATAAAGTTAAAAAAATTCACTTAACACATGATTCAGTGCTTCCCTGGTTGCTCAGTAGTAAAGAATCTGCCTGCCAAAGCAGCAGACATGTGTTCGATCCCTGAGTGGGGAAGAGATGGCAACCCACTCCAATATTTTTGCCTGGAAAATCCCACTGAGAGAAGAGTCTGGTGGGCTAGAGTCCATGGGGTCACAAAAGAGTCAGACATGACTGAGCAACTAAACAACAACAACATATGATCTAGTTTAATTCCTAAGTATTTATTTAAAAGAAATTGCTGACCACAGATAGGTGATCATTATACCCGAGGGGGGAAAAAAACCTTTACAATCAGAAATAATTTATATTTCCTTGGGCAGCTCTTTTAAAGACTCAATTGGTCTATACCCTGGTCTGTTGGCTCCTCATGTCTATGTCTACAGAATCCTTAGGAGTAAGTGTTTTGACTTAGTTCAAATTAAGAAGTCTAGAGGAATTTTGTCTTAGGTGGACTATTTTTCTCAAACATCATATTCAAGTGCTTGGTTTGTTTAAACAAACATTAATTTTCCTCTTCATAATAGAAAGTAGGGTCTTTCCATCCATTGATTTGATAACTTCTGAGGCAAGGTTTGCAATTTTCAGTGGACAGATTAGAAATATAGGACTGTGCATGTTGTGGTTTAAGGCTGCCTAGGAAGGAAGCCTTGAGGAAGGGAGGAGAGGGAACCGAGAAAGTTCTACTAGTGACCACCCTAATTCTCTAAAATTCTCTTCTGTGGTTTGACAAGAATGCCTCAAGTAAAATAAAGGGTTTCTTTGCCTTGATTAGATGGCAATTATCTCATACATACATATTCCTTAGAAATCTCTAAATTATGAATTGCCAAGTGTTAAAAATATATATATATTAACTAATATAATAAAATCATTTTATTAGTTTATCAATTTCACCTCTAAATGATAACCATATTTCATAATAGTCCAAGGAAAGAAAGTAAAAGTCGCTCAGTCGTGTCTGACTCTTTGCGACCCCATGGACTATACAGTCCATGGAACTCTCCAGGCCGGAATACTAGAGTGGGTAGCCTCTCCCTTATCCAGGGGATTTTCCCAACCCAGAAATCGAACCAAGGTCTCCAGCATTGCAGGTGGATTCTTTGCCAACTGAGCTACCAGAGAAGCCTAAGGAAAGAATTCAGTATTTCATAAGCTTCCTGAAACTGCATGCAGATTTAAGAGGTATATGTGAGCACTGCAATTGAATTAATACTAACATTATATTTTCAAAGTAGACTCTAAGCCTCAAATAGATAAGAAACATTGACCTAGAGTCATGAAGGTACACCAACAATGGCATAGTAAATTAGTGACTAGATCCAGTCATATTTTCTGAAACCAGAATGCTTCTTGTTCCTTATAGCAGAAGGAGTTATGTCCTTAAGTGTAGTTGAAAACACTGGTGGTGGCCAAAGCAGCTTCAGTCTTTGACACCCACAATAATCAGTGTCAGAATTTGGTCCTCTGAGATGTCACCTAAAGTGTTGATCTTCCTGGTTATGAGGAAAAAGTCATACAGCTCTCGCTAAACACTAAGAAAACAGATATCCAGGGAAAGGAGATCTGTTAAGCTCTTAGTAGTAGTCACCGCGATTAAGCCCATTTACCTCGTCTCCGGAACTTCAGATATATAATGAGCAGTCCAAAAAAGACTAAACAAGTCAGTAATTGAATGACGCTTGGGCGCAACCAACCATGGCAGTCATATGGGAACACTAGAACAGAGAGAGTTTGTATTAATGAAAGAAGAATGCAGGAATGTGGGTTACCATTGACCTAAGAACCATTATCAGAAAAAGCATAGTCATTGCTTCATGCCCACTCAACCTAGGTAGGGCTAGGATGTGAGTTTGCTTTGTGGGTGGTGGCTGACCCTAGTAAAACCGGACCTATGGACCCAGCAGAACTAAGAGGAGTTTTTTCCCCTAATTCTCACCACCTAGTCTAGCACTGAATTAATCTGGGGGAACCGGACAGATGTCCTGGGATCTTCATTAGATTTCTGGGCGTTCTGAGGGTTGTGAGATTAGACAGATGGAGCAGTGGTGACACCGAGGTGACTGAAAAAAGCAAACACACTTTAAACCCCTCAGCTTTAATTTCCCTGTCAAGGGGCTTATTTCTACAAGTTTAACAGAGATAATTAAAATGTGTTACCATATACTACTAAAATAATTATGCATTTATTCTTTGATCTCTATCAATTTCCAGGAGAAAATAACCAGAAATAATGAGATACTCCTCAAAGAAGCTCAATTGAAGTAAAATTATGACCTCAAGTCTTTAAAAGTCTTCTCTGGGGAAGACAGAGAAGAACCACTCATTGTGATATAATTGGTAGAAATCATGGAACAATAGATTTTATTTCTAAAATGAAGAAAATTCCCATGGTAACTATGGAATAGGCATGTTTCCTGAGATAACAACCTCCTCAGTCATTAAGGTGTGCAAGCAGAAACCTGAAACCAGTTACTGCAAATAAGCATGATGACCAGAGCATGAGGGTTGGAACCACAAACATCTGCCTTCCAGTCTTGTCTCTGTCACTTACGAGCTGTGATTTGTGACATTTTCATCTATAAAATGGTGACAATAAAAGCACTGCCTAAAAAAAAATTTTAAAAAAAGCACTGCCTTTAGGATTAATTTAGGTGACTTTGGTAAGATGAATGTTATTGATACAATCTCTAACATAAGGTAGGCACCCAATAAATGTGGTACAGGGTTTTATGGATTAGGTAGGGAAATGGGTCCGATAGATTATATCTTCTCCTTTGACTCATCTCCTTTAAAATTATCTAGAGTCAATAGCTAGATTCACATCCCCCATCTAGCAGCTTACTCATCTATATAGAATCTATTTTGCCTGGACATAAGTTGGGAAAAGAAATGTTTTTAAATTGTTCTATGTCTTTTTACCTAATGGGTCACTATCATTCAGTGATATGTTCACTCAGAAGGATGATACATTCATTCAGTTTAACCACAAAACAGGATGGAAGAGTCTGGTTGTAAAGGACTTGTTGATTTAGAGACATATCTCTTTTTCATGTTGACATTATTTAAGCTCTAAAAAGGAGGTTATATCTTGAAAGTTAATAAGAACTTATATAAGCAAAAAGACTATCATCAAATTAAGTGTATTCTAGAGCAAGACTCACAGGATTCATCCATCACAAAGTGATTTTCAGTTAGGCAGATGCTGGATTCACTTCATGTTGATTGAATATTTACTTAAGAGAGAAAGCCCTTACCTTGAGGGCATAGAACTAACTGTGGGTCCGAACAACTCAGGAAACATCTATACTGACCTCCTTCCTAAAACAGCATTGTCCTGGGAAGTTCCTAATTAGGAGATGTGAAGTTCAACATTTCTAAAGTGAGAAACAAGCTCTAAATCTTCCTATGATTGGCATAATTGACCAATGTTGTACAGTTTTGCCTGAACACCCCATGTGACTTACACATCACATTAAGAGAGATTCCTTTAATGACTCCACACTCGTTGCAGCAGTTATCTCCTTTTGTGAAACATTGACAAGAGAGAACAATAGTCAAAAACAATATCACGAACAGAAGCGATACAGAGAATATCATCCAAATGTGGTCTGGGTAAAACAGATCACCTGAAAGAAAGGGCAGAACCATTTGAAGATCAATAAACCCACAACACAGAGCACCAGTGGATTAGAAATTTTACTGCTAATAAAGCAAGATTCTCTTTTAGGTCCTGTTTTCTTTACTTTTTTGTATGTGGGTGGGGGCTAAAGTCCAGTGGAGCTGTTTTAGTGGCAAATACAGAGCCTGGAGTTGAGTTTGTTTGGGGGATAGAATTTAACTTGAGGCTATAGTTGATAGAAGGAAGTCTCTCTCTCTCCATCCCTCACTCTCGCTCTCATTTTTTATTAACAATTCCAGTGCAAATGCTTCCTAATTATAAAGGAAACAATCAAGCAGAATCCTGTACATCCTGCTTGTGGCTGAGAAGCTCACTGGCTATAAGACAGCCTCAAAACTGTCTCTAGTGAGTTCTTAGGGTGTAAAGATAATGGAGACAAATAGACATTTTTTTACTTTTATGCTCTGCATTTCTTGATAAGGTCTCTTTAATACTAGGTATATGGTATATCCCTTAAAAATGTTTCTTGTTGGGGCTTCCCTGGTGGCCCAGTGGTTGAAACTTGGCTTTCCAAGGCATAGGGTGTAAGTTTGATCCCTGGTTGGGGAGCTAAGACCCCACATGCCTCGTGGCCAAAAACCCAAGACATAAAACAGAAGCAATATTGTAAAAAATTCAATAAAGACATTCAAAATGGTCCACAACAAAAAATTCTTTAAAAAAAAATTTATTGTTTCACTTTTAACCTTTGACTTCTAACCTATATGTAATTTATTTCTGTATATAATTATATGTATGAGTCTTTTTCTCCCAGAAATATTGACAATTATTCTAACATCTTATAGGAACTTTTTCATTTTTTTCAAAGCACTAAACTTTATACTTCATAATTTGTTATACTGTTTTTTATGATTTGAATCTCTTTCTGCCCTTCTTAGTTTTAGCATTGATAAAATGGCCTACTCCTGTGACAGTACATAAAACTCTATGTTTGGAAATACCACAAACTGTTTAACATTTACTCACAATTACTTTATTATAGTCAGTCAGTTTTTAATCTGATAAAGGAAATTCTTCCTCATTTTTAAAATTATTTTTGCCATTTACAGATATTCATTTTTCCATACTAACTTCAAACTTACCTTATCCATATTTTTAAAGACTTCCAAGGAATTTCTTTCTGTAATGTCTTAAATAATTATATTAATTTTGGATTATTTTTGTCTTCAAGGAGGTGAATATTCCTGTTAAAAACTGACTATTCCTCCACAGATATTTATCTCTTTTTGAGGTCTTTCAGGCAGAATATGTGCTATATTTCATAGAAGTTCTGTATTTACCTTGTGATGAAATTTTGTGGCTAATGTTAAGCACATGTTACTTTTTCCAGATTTTTCATTGGGATTGACCTTCTTATTATTAGTCCTTGTTCTAGTTCCCAATTAAGGAAATTCATCATCCATAAATATGTGCCTTTTGGTTGCATATTTAGCACATATTTGATATTTTTTAATATTAGCAACAACATTTTGGGGGCCAGTTTTTCAGGGAAAATAAAGCTTAACTTGCAGTGTTTTTGTAGATTTCATATTTATTTTATGTTAAATTTTTAATCTGTATGAATATTTGTGAATTAGATAAAAGTCAGAGCTGTATTTATTACATGGGATGTGAAAAGTTTTAACAATATTGTTCACACAGCCTATAAAAGCCACTTTTTTCAAAATTATTAACTATTACATGAGTCAATTTTAAATATTAATTTAATTGCTTATGATACAGTTTTTTTCTCAACTATTATGTTTATGTTATAGCCTATTCCAATTTGAATCCTGTCAGAAATTAATGATTGAATATATATGCAAGTGTGCATGCATGCTCAGTCATGTCTGACTCTGCTACCCAGGAACTGTAGCCTACCAGGCTCCTCTGTCCATGGGATTTCCCAGGTAAGAATACTTGAGTGAGTTGTCAATTCCTACTCCAGGGAATCTTCCTGACCCAGGGATCAAATGCACATCCGCTGTCTCCTGCATTGGCAGGTAGATTCTTTACCACTGTGCCACCTGGGAAGCCCAGATATATCTATATAATGCTTACTAATTTGAATAGGAAACAACTATCTTTAGTGAAACAATAAGAAACATTTGAAAGATTTAAAACAGGTTCTGAAGAAAATTCTTCTTTACCATTGATAAAAGAGATCAAAACAAATGCCTCTAAATATTCATTTTTGCCTGCTGTGTTTATGTGTTTTCCTCCTACCTCTCTCCCTATTCCTACTCAGATAATTTGCAGATTTCTCTTGTCATCTAAAGGACATCTAAGTTGTTTCCATGTCCTGGCTAGACCCAGAGGAATCGGGTGGAGAGGGAGGTGGGAGGGGGGATCGGGATGGGGAATACATGTAAATCCATGGCTGATTCATGTCGATGTATGACAAAAACCACTACAATATTGTAAAGTAATTAGCCTCCAACTAATAAAAATAAATGGAAAAAAATAAAATAAAATAAAGGACATCTAAAAGGTGAATGCTCCAAAGTTCAGTTCTAGGAACCTGGTTTTTTATTTTTTCTATCCTTATTCACTTTGTATCTTGTCCAATTCCATTGTTTTAAATATTCTTCTTAAAGACATTCACATATGTCTCAAGCCTGGTCTCCTCCATAGAACTTTAAACTCACTATCTAACTCCCAGTTGATATTTCCTTATAAGTCTTATCTCTAAGATAGGCTCATTTCACAAACTTCCCCATCTCAGGAGATGAAAACATTTTTTCATGACTCAAATTATCCTATTAATTTTTCTTTATGTTGATATATTGACAACAAACCTCTGACAAACACTCACCAGCCAGGATGATATTTGTTCGTTTCTCTTCACCTGTTAGAGGATTGCGGATGTAGCAAGTCATGTTGCCCCATGACTGGTTTCTAAGGACAAGAGTCGTCTTTGCATGAAACAATCTGCCTCCATCCTGTGAATAGGATTCTGATGAATGTGGAACTCTTTCTCCTCTGCCATCTCTGCATTCCATCTGGGGCTTTGGGAACCACCCTCCTGAGTTATAGTCCACCACGAGCCCCTCAGTGCCAGGCGCCTGAACATGGATTTGTGTTTCCAAGCCTAATGCTGGGGAAAATGGGACAGAAAGATCAAGACAGTTGTTGCTTTGAGATTGGATTGGAAATCTGAAAAGAGTCTCATTAACCTTGTGATCTTCAACAGAAGAAGAGGCAATACTCAAATTCACGTCCAAATTACAAACTGGGCAAATTCTGATCACTCTTCATTGTCTGTCCACTGCATAGTATATTCTTGCATTAGATAAACAGATTTTTCTTATTATAGTATTTGAAACATGTTTGAAAATGTGAAAAAATAAAAAGAAACATTGATATATTTTCATATATTTCAGCTTACAGGGTCACAAGGGCATTGGTATGCAACATTCCACCATGAAACTTACCTGCTATGCTCAGATTCATGCTGGCCACATCATTAATGCCACTACCTTTAAATGAACACTGATATGATCCATCATCAGAAACACTGATATTACCAAGTCTGAGAGTCACTTTGCCCTCTCTAATGGCCTCTTTCACAAACTCTGTGCGATTCACATATCCTGGGGCAGCTTCTTCACTCACTCCATGGCCATCTCTGTATAGGTGAACGAGTTTGGAATCGTCCCCTCTGAACCAGCGCACCTCCATATGCTCTGCGCTTCGTGGCGGGGACAACTGGCAGCTGAGCTCAGCGTGTCCTCCTACTGCAGCCACCAAGTGTCTCGTGGGAATGGTGACTGTCCAGTTTTCTGTGGAAGAAGATGGAAAACCAGGATACATGTGAGGCCAACAACTTCTTTGTTGCTACACATTGTAGGATATACTAGTTCTTATCATCCGACCTGGCCGTTCTATATGTCCAGCTATGACTATATCCCTTTCTAAACATTTCACTACAAAAAAATCAACTAGACACAGAAGAAGTAGGTAATGAAGGAAATGAGCGGCAAAAAGCTATAAAATATACAAGAATAAAAATACCAGAAGAAATTCATTACTTTAAATGTAAATGGACTAAACTCTCCAATCAGCAGACAGAATTGGCAGAAGGGATAAAAACACATGATACAACTATATATTGTCTGCAAAAGGCTCACTTTAGATCCAAAGACTTGAATAAGTTGAAAGTAAAAGGATTGAAAAAGTTATTAAATGCAAATAGCAACCAAAACAGAACAAGTCTTGCTATACTAATATCATGCAAAATAGGCTTTCCCCCCAGCTTTATTGAAGAATAATTGACAAAAATCAGTCCTAAATATTCATTAGAAGGACTGATGACAAAGCTGAAGTTCCAATACATTGGCCACCTGATGTGACGAGTCAATTCATTAGAAACACCCTGATGCTGGGAAAGATTGGAGGCAGGAGGAGAAGGGGACAACAGAGGATGAGATGGTTGGATGGCATCACCAACTCGATGAACATGAGTTTGAGCCATCTCCAGGAATTGGTGATGGACAGGGAGCCCTGGCAAGCTGCAGTCCATGGAGTCGCAAAGAGTTGAACATGACTGAGTGACTGAACTGAATAACAAAAAATTGTGTATTTAAAGTGTGTAACTCTCAGTCATTATTGTTTCAAATATTTCTTCTATTTCTTTCTCTTTTTCTTTTTGTACCAGGATTCCATTTTATATTTTTAGTTGTCCCGCAATTTTTAGATTTTTCTCTTCAATTTTTTTTCTTTTACTCTTTCCCTGGTTTTCAGTTTTGAAAGTTTCTGCTGATAATCCTCAAGCTCAAAGATTCTTTCCTCAGCCATGTCCAGGCTACTAATGAGCCCATGAAAGGAATTCTTCATTTCTGTTACAGTGTTTTTAATCCCTATGACTTCTTTCTGATTCTTTCTTAGAATTTACATCTCTTTGCTTGCATTGCTTATCTGTTCCTGCATGTCATCTACTTTTCCATTAGAACCTTTAGCATATTAGCCACAGTTATTTTAGATTTCTAATCTGACAATTCCAACAATCCTGCCATATCAATTTCTTATTTTGATACTTTGCTCTAACCCTTTCACCTGATGTTTTGCCTTCTAGTATGCTTTGTAATTTTTTGTTGGAAGCCACACATGATGCACTGGGAGCAAAAACTTTGATTAAAGGCATTTAGTGAGTTAGTGGTAAGTTAGCAGTAGGGGAGATATCCTTGTTCTGTGATTAGATTTCAGTCTTTTAGTGAGCCTATGTCCCTGACTATGAGCTTCATAAGCGCTTCTCAGTTGTATCCCTCCTTGCTGCGTGTGTGTGCTCAATCCCGTCAGTCCTGTCTGACTCTTTACAACCCCTTGGACTGCAGCCTGCTAGGCTCCTCTGTCCATAGTATTCCCCCAGCAAGAATACTGAAATGGGTTGCCATGGCCCCCTCCAGGGAGGATGGATCAAACTCATTTCTCCTGTGTCTCCTGCATTGCAGGCAGATTTTTCACTCCTGAGCCACCAGGGAAACCATATCCCTCCCTAATGGGACACAAAGGATACAGCGGCCAGGAGTTGGATGTTTTCCTGCCCCCAGGTAAGTTAGACTCTGAGAAAATACCAATAGGTTAGGTTCTGGTAAAATATTGTCTCTTGAGCGCAAGCCTTACTAAGAAGAGCATATTTCAAAGTAGTTGCTCTTCCCCTCCCCCTGCTAGAAACACAATGGCATTTCCCCCCAAATTCCCTGTGAGAGCCTAGTAAAAACCACGGAGGTAAAATTCACAAAAGTGAGCTTTCTCATGATTGGGCCCTCTTGGAGTTTTTAACTTTCAGACTTGTCCACACTGAGCTTATAGCAATTCAGTTATTACAGTTTAGGTTTTCCTACCCTTGTACTGGTTTCCGTAAAGACTTATGGCCTGGGAAGTTGTGAGTCTCTCTGTCTACTTAGGGCTTCCCTGATAGCTCAGTTGGTAAAAAATCTACCTGCAATGCAGGAGTTCCTGTTTTGATTCCTGGGTCAGGAAGATCCCCTGGAGAAGGGATAGGCTACCCACTCCAGTATTCTTGGGCTTCCCTTGTGGCTCAGCTGGTAAAGAATCTGCCTGCAATGTGGGAGACCTGGGTTTGATCCCTGGGTTGGGAAGATCCCCTGGAGAAGGGAACTGCTACCCACTCCAGTATTCTGGCCTGGAGAATTCCATAGACTGTATAGTCCATGGAGTTGCAACGAGTTGGACATGACGAGTGACTTTCACTTCAGTATCCACTTATGTATCTCTCTAATTTGGGAAGGAGCAATTTGTCCTATTACCTCAATTCTCTGTTGAATCTAGGAAAAGTTGTTGACTTTCAGTTTTTTCAGTTTTTTACTTGATAGTAGGCCACAGTAATGACTTCCAAGCTCCTTACATGCTAGAATGGACACTGTAAACCTGCTCTAGGTTCTTTCCACAGCTGTGACTCAGTAAGAAGAGAGTGGATGCTCTTACCTGAAGTTGATATCATCACTTGTAGAAGAAGAAAGCTCACACAGGACCCAGAAAAAGAAGAGGATTTAAGCTTCATCATGCCTGGAAAAAGAGACAAGTAAAAAGTCATAGACTATGAGATATGAGGCAGGAAATGTCAGGATACTCAAAATTAAATCAAGATCATTGATAGGTACAACCTGGGACTCCTTTCAGAGTATAACCCATCTCAGCATTCAGTCAAATGTCTGAATTTTACCATCTCTCCCCACTTGGTTCTTATCAGGAGAGGACTTATTAATCCCTCTTTCCCATGAATTCACACTCTGCTTTTTCTCTCTTTCACTTTATGACCTAACTGACTAGATGAGCATTTCCTATGGTGCGTGTAACAAATGGAGCAGAAAAAAAAAAAATCCTAAGTGAATAAATCAGGGGAGGGAATAAAAAATGGCAAGCACAAAAGCATGAATGCTTAAATATGCATGATAAAATAAGGAGAGTCTTTTCTGGATTTATGTCCTTGAACAATTAAGATGAGATCAAATTATGATAGAACTAAGATAGCTTGTCAACAATTTTGTATATTATTTATAAAAAAGAAAGAGTGCTGAAATATTAACTAGGTATCTTGTACTTTATCTGGCAACTCTCCTGTAACTCATAGTAAGAAACACGTGAGTTGGATTACGAAGTCAGTAAGTAAAAAAAACCAAACAAACATGAGATAATAACAAGAAAAAAGGGTTCAAATATTTATATATCTTTAAGGGAAATGTAAGACTGTATTCACATCATAACTGTGTGCTAAAAAAATGAGTCAAGAGCTGAAGGAAGAAGTTCCTCTGGTCATGGGAAACAAAATCTCTCTGCTATTGAAACTAAACACAATTTAGCTACTATTGGAAAAAAATAAAAAAGTCCTATTTGGACTTTATAAAGCCCATGTGAAAATATTTTAAGTAATTGTGCTTTAAATTTTATTATTGTACATATCTGATAGATATGACAAATGATTATCAGGAATGCTAGTCTTTAAACAGTTCACATCAATGGATAAAATTAGGCAATGGGTTGGCATAGCACCCAGAAAAGCAGATTACAATTTCCAAAGGAATGTAATCTCTAAATGACTCATAGTTATTTTGATATTTCCCTCCACTACCTCTCATTCCTATTTAGAATCATTAAATTTTGAATTTATGAAAGATAAATAATCATTTTTAAAAACAAGCTACAAAAGAAATAAAGGCACATGTTCAGACTTATAACAAATATTCATGGTATTTTTATTTGTAATACTCAATAGCTGAAAATAGCTCAAAATTTTACTTACAGATAAATGGATAAGCAAGTTTTGATATGTCCATATGATGTAATTAACTCAGTAATAAAAAGGAATGAATCATTTTTACATGTGTGTGAATTTTGAAAGGATAGTGCTGAGTTAAAGAAACCAGACAGAATATTACGCACATTCATTTTAAAAGTATTCAGTTTATTATATTTCAATTATACCTCATTAAATTTTTTAATCTACTTTTACAAATACAATTAAAACTAGTAATACTCTTTTATGGGGTACTTACATTTAATAACAATACCACCTATACTTAAGGAAAGGATTCTTCGTCACTGGGGATACCTACCATAGCATCTAAAGCACTGGCATCACTGTAAGCTTTTTTGATGTCTTTTAAAAAAGAGGCTAGGAAAGGGGTTCCATTTCTGGGACCCAGGGCAGATAGGATCGGTCTTTAATTGTCAGCAGTTGAAAAATGAAGTATGAAAGCAGATCTTCCTTTTCTTTTTTTCAGCTGTGCTGGATCTTCACTGTCGCTCATGGGTTTTATTTGCCCCATGGCATGTGGAATCTTAGTTCCCTGACTAGGGATGGAACAGTATCCCCTGCAGTAGAAGGCAGACTCTTAACCACTGGACCACCAGGGAAGTCCCTTAGATCTTCTCTTTTGAAACACCTAACGATCTGTTAGTTTTCCAAATCCACAAGTACCACTTGTCTGTGATGAAAAGATTGGCAAAATACTACAGAAAATTAGAGCTAAAAGAACCCCTAACACCATGTTTAAGGAGGTGGAATATAGCCTTATCCATATCTATTTTTCACAATCTGGTCACTTACTTGAGCTCCAGAATCCAGAAGAAATTTCTTTCCAGGTCCTTCATTAAGTTGTCTCAATGTCCAAGGGTGAATCAGCCATGCTGCCGCGTGAGATACTACAAAGTGGGTCTGTGTACCAGAGCATTCACCTATTGCCTGCCAGCTGAACTTGTTTTTATTCTAAATTGAAATCAATATCCTTTCATAGATACAATAGCAAGGTGCCTATTGTCTGTAATATAAGATCTCAAAACCATTTGCAGCTGTACTTTGCATCACCTGAGAGAACTCGTGTTATCTTTTCAAGAGACATGTACTGACAACATGCCTTAGCCTGAAATGACATCTGAGCTCATCAGTCTTTATGTATATTCCCCTGGATTTTTCCTTTACATCATGAGAATTGTGGGGAAATCTTAAGGGGAATTCTTTCTCTTATTAACAAACATATGCCATGCAAGTTACCTATGTAAGCACAATTTAAAATTCCCTCTTACTCATCCAGCGCTACCGAATACTATCTATTCTTCCCTACAACTGTTCTGTTTTCCTGCTGAAAATCACATTACATTCAATTTAGAGACGGGCACAAGACAAACACTGGAAAAATAATTTTCAAAGCTGTTTTTAATAATGAAACAATGGAATTTTTGAATTAAGAGGAGCCTAGAGAAAGCTTAGACAGTCTGTGCTAGAAGTTATTTGGTCCATAAGGGACTTTAATGATAGTGTTCTAAAAAGGACATGAACCTAGGTCACTAGTGCCACAAAGTACAGCTATACAATGAGGCTTATGGAGGACAGAACTTACAAGCTGATAAGTACAGGACCATGGACAAACCTCTATTTCTCCCTTTTTCATAGAAAGCTGTTCTGAGGCCAGGCACTGCTGAACTGAAGGCAGCATGGATAGTGTTCCTTCTGTAATTCTCTGCTGTAATGCTCTACTTCTAAGACATGAGAAGTAGGAAGCATTCATGTGACTTTAGTCTTGTATGCGTGCTAAGTTGCTTCTGTCATGTCTGACTCTGTGCGACACTGTGGACTGTAGTCTGCTACACTTCTCTGTCCATGGCATTCTCCAGGCAAGAATACTGAAGTGGGTTCCCTCCTCCAGGGAATCTTCCCAACCCAGGGGTCAAACCCAAGTCTGTAACAAGTCTGTGAACATTTCATGCATTGGCAGGTGGGTTCTTTACCATTAGTGCCACCTGGGAAGTCCTGACTAGTCTTGGCCTGCTTTCTTGAGCTAACTCAGACCTTTTGAGCCATTTCTGCTGAGCTACCAAAAGGAGGGTTTGGAAATGAGGGCCATCTAGACTTTTTCCTCTATATCTCTGACACTTGGAGGTTCAGTAAATATTTCTTCCCACTGTGTATGCAGACTGGGCTAATCTGTTTTTGGGCCAGAGGAAAGTTTCACAAGGATTCAAAATTTTCTATTCTTTCATCCACATAAACTTTAGGATTACCTAGTAATTTTCCGTTAAAAAAAATGTTGGATTTTGATTAAAGATAATTGACATATTGAGACTTCTGATCAATGATTGTGGGTATTGCTCAATTTATTTGGGTCATCTTTATCTGATTACTAGCAAGTGTAATTATCTTTCTGTTAGACATTGGGGGATTTCCCTTTGTGGGAAACATATAATAAAATTTTTTTCTTAGAAGAGGATCCTGGGAAACTGTCTCTAAAATGTGGAATTGGATATAGAAAGTTTAATTGGAGTATATACTTGGGATCAACACCAACAGTCAAGTGAGTGAAGTAGGATTTAGCAAGAACAGTTGTTAACTGTGATGGAGCAACAATGAAGGTTGGTACCACAGGAAGCTGGGATGGCCCATTAGGGTTGCTCCACCATGAGGTGGGGTTGGGAGTTGTAGACCCTCATACAACTACAAGGACAGTCATTGGTACAGACTTTCCTTGAACCTGAAAAGGATGCATGACCTGTGACAAGGGAGCTTTTGTTTGCTTTGGTTGAGGACAATTCCCATGAAGGCACTTAGCTGAGAAATTGTAATCACTGGCAACTTGGGAATGGGTGACTCAGTCTTGAAGGAGATCTGGAGGGCCCACCAGAGCATCTGCTATACACCACCCCATGCACTGCATGATCCATGTGCATTCAATAGTAAATTAATCTAGAAGTCTGCATGCTGTCTTTCTTTTCCTAGTGAGCTTATAGCTGATCTTAAGGCCACAACTAACACCATCTCCCTCTTCTGCAACTTATTCTAGATTCCTCAACCTTTCAGCTATTCCTCTCACAGCATCTCTGTGAGCCTATGTAGCTCAACTAATGTGATGACTGAGCTGATCCCTGAGATATATAAGACATTTATTACCACAACCTTCTCAAGTGATGAATGCTGTATCTTACCATTTGCTATTAATATTTGACAAGTTGGGTGTCAAGCAGCAAGAAGGAACTTTTGGAGGTCATGGAAAGGTTCTATACCTTGAATGTGGTCATGCCTACAAGATAGAGATTTTGAAAAATGCCTCACACTATATTTTTAAAAGGTGCATTTTATTGTATATAAATGATATTTCAATAAAATTTTTTAAATTGAGAAATGGAATAACAAATGAAGCTCTAATGGATTATCTGGATGCCAAACTATGTAAATTATATACTAAGAACCTTAAGTGTTTGTTGAAATGACTCAGAAGACTTACTTTATTAAAAATGGCTTTATTACAAAGGACATAATCCAGTAACAACAGAAGAAGAACATGCACTGAAAAGAGTTTGGAATTCCTAGAAGTGGGCTTCTTGGTCAACCTGTAGGGTAGCCTCACACAGAATATGCATTGTCTCCAGATCTCAGATCACCACTGTGTTTGGTGAAGCATTCCAGGGCTAGAAAACCCCAAATCTACCTATGGTGGGGGTCTCATATTGAACTGTGCACATAAATCTATTCCAGTTATGTGACTAGACTTAGGCTTTGAACCCTGACATTACCT